TCAGGCACTAGACAAGAGTGCCCTCTATCACCACTCCTATTCAACACAGCATTAGATGTTCTAGCCAGAGCAATCCGCCAAGAAAAAGAAATAAAGCGTATTCGATTAGGAAAGGAGGAAGTCAGACTGTCTCTATTTGCAGATGACATGATTGTATATCTAGAACACCCCGTAGTCTCATCCCAAAATTTTCTGAAACTGATAAGTAACCTCAGCAAAGTCTCAGGATACAAAATAATAGTGCAGAAATCACAAGCATTCCTGTATACCAACAGACAAACAGAGAGCCAAATCAAGAGCAAACTCCCATTCACAACTGCTCCAAAGAGAATAAAATACCTAGGAATACAACTAACAAAGGATGTAAAGGACCTCATCAAGGAGAACTACAAACCACTGCTCAACAAAATAACAGAGGACACAAACAGATGGAGAAATATTCCATGCTCATGGTTAGGAAGAATCAATATCGTGAAAATGGTCATACTGCCCAAAGTAATCTGTAGATTCAATCTGATCCCCATCAGGCTACCAATGACCTTCTTTACCAAACTGGAAAAAACACTTTAAACTTCATATGGAATCACAAGAGACCCCGCATAGCCAAGAAAATCCTAAGCAAAAAGAACAAAACTGAAGGCATCACACTGCCAGACTTCAAACTATACTACAAGGCTACAGTAATCAAAACAGCATGGTACTGGTACCAAAACAGAGACCCAAGAAGAAACACCACACATCTACAACCATCTGATCTTTGACAAACCTAGCAAAAACAAACAATGGGGAAAGAACTCCATGTTTAATAAATGGTGTTGGGAAAACTGGCTAGCAATGTGCAGAAAGCAGAAACTGGAACCCTACCTGTCACCTTACACTAAAATTGACTCCAGATGGATGAAAGATTTAAACATAAAACCTAACACGCTAAAAAAACACTAGAAGAAAACGTAGGCAAAACCATCAAGGACATAGGCATAGGCAAGGACTTCATGACTGAAACACCAAAAGCAATGGCAGTAAAAGCCAGGATAGACAAGCATGGATTTTTTTATTTGTTTGTGACTTCTTTTGATTCTTTGAGCAGTGGTTTGTAGTTCTCCTTTAAGGAGA